ATTTCCCAGCCATTCTTATCAATGTTAGCTTCTAAAAATCACTGGATTTATACTACCGACATAGCACAAGATATCCCGATGCTTTTTGGGATCCTCCGAGGCCGTCGTCGTCGTTCCGAACGACGTTGAGGATACTCCGAGGACGATTCGGCATCTGCCGGAGCGTCATCGCCTCAGTCTTGCTTCCTACCACCTTCGTCCCGCATCAACGCCATGCCATCCTGCCCCAGATATTTGTCTGGGGCACCTACTGTCTATTCCCTCTCATTTCTTCCCATTTCGAGCGCGGAGCACGTCTCCATGGCTACCGACAGCCATAGATGACGTTGGGCCTTCGCCAAACCAAAACTGTTCGGATCGTTTCCTTAGCCGAATGGCATTGTGGCCAGAAACCCCCCGCCCCGCCGGCGAGCGGGCTTCAAGTACGGGCATGGGTCTAGAGATCACCACGAGTCGCATGAGTCTGGAGAGTACTCGCGAATCAACTCGGACTCGCAGGGTCAAATACTCGACTCGACTCGACTCGTGAGTCAGGAGGACTCGAGTCAGGTGAGAGTCATGAACAGCCTAAAGCTAATATCTGACTCGTGTCCTGACTCGTGTTAACTCGTGCATGAACACATGAATCAATGAAAATACCTGCTAAATAGCTTAAATAAGGTTTAACTACAGCAATATACTAGATGAGTCTGGAGAGTACTCGCGAATCAACTCGGACTCGCAGGGTCAAATACTCGACTCGACTCGACTCGTGAGTCAGGGGACTCAAGTCATGCGCGAGTCATGAACAGCCTTTGACCCCCATGAGTACTCGCCGCATGAGTCACGAATCGACTCGAGTCAGGACTCGTGGTGATCTCTACATGGGTCGGACTGGGAGTACCGTGCCGTCTGCTGGCAGTGCAGCGCTGGTTCGGTGCGTACTATGATTTTTTTTTGATTGTTGGCGGCCTCAAGGCCAGCGTCAACGTTACTTACATTTTACTGACTATTGTTATAGGAAACTACCTCTCCCTCTCATCCATTCCCACTCTTCATGCCTATCGACGCCAGCCGCCCTCGCATTCGCTCATTCACTGAAAATTCTTCAAGTCCATTTGCCGCCGGCACTTGAGGCCACGTCAGCCTCACGTGCCGGTTGGTTTAAATTTCGATCGGACCATTTTGCGACTTGTTCTTAGACCACCACCCACTCGGACTCTCCCACTTCTGTGCTGCTGCTCTGCGCACAGCGTAGAGTTCAACGTTGCTCTCCATGAAGGTCTGGTGCGTATTCGAACTATTTTTTCCTCTGACCTGTCTCATCCTTTGTCCGCGTCTGTTGTGTAGACGAGGACACCGACGACATGGTCGTGGTCACTGACTATGAGGACGCCGAGCAGCACCGAGGACGCCGATCAGCGAGGACACCGAGCATAGAGAACAAAGCATCGAGGACGCTGACATGGTCGTGGACATCGACTACGAGGACGAGGACGAGGATGCCGATTACGAGGGACGCCGACTATAAGAACATCGACTACAAGGACGAGGCCACTCCGAGGATGCGTCGACTACGAGGACGAAGCCGCTGACTACGAGGACGAGGACGAGGAGGCCTACTACGAGGACGATGACACTTACTACGAGGATGAGGACGCCTACTACGAGGATGAGGACCAACTCTGAGGACACCGACACTGTGGACGAGGCTCGTACAACCATTCAGGACGGTATCGAACATCGAGGATCATGACGACTGTCGAGGATGCTGTCGCAGGATATCGAGCCCACCCAGGACGAGGATGACAGGCACCCGTGGACGTCGACGACGAGAACCACGACTTGGCTCATCCGCGGATGAGCACCACGACTTGGAGCCCCTGTGGACGAGCACCGCGACTCGGAGCCCCTGCAGATCATGACTATGAGCACCCGAGGGGTGTCAATGGTGAGGACTCTACTGAGGGATCAGTTCAGGTAACTGCCACCTGGGAGGACCCCCGAATATAGGTGGGAAGGCCGGATGCTAATCCGGACTTTTTTTGAGCGAAAAAAGTGCCTAGGCCACATATAATCCGAACTTTTTGAACGAATTTTCGGCTCTAGCAAGATTTTTCGTCCGAACAAATCGTGGTCAGTGTTGGGAGGCCGTATGCAATCCGGACCTCAGCTCTGGCTGAAAGCGGTGGATCCTCGGCGCAATCAACGCCAAAAGTTGCTGATTCGGAGCCATCATCACAGCTCGACTGGTTTTAGGTACATTTTTGCCTATTTCAACCCGGCATCATACTGAACACAGCACGGAAGCCGCTTTTGCAGTTCTACACCTGAACACGAGGCGTTTTGGGGCAAATTTGAGGCCATTTCGCACTGTCCGAACCAATTTTTTGCGATTGCAGGCCGTTCCAATCGTCCGAGCAAAAATTTCGAAATTTGCTCAAAGCCGTACATAATCCGAGCGAAAATCACAAATTTTGGACCTCCTTGTCCGAACTTTTCAGCCCAAAATTGAAATTTGAGATACGGCCTCCCCACCTATATTCGGGGGTCCTCACCTGGGTGGATGAAGGTTCAACGTGTTGTTGTATATGAGCACTGTGTTGTATCTAGCTTGTAGATAATGATACTGTAGTGTTTCGACCGTAACTTCACAGCCTGTGACTCGTTATGGTCTGAAGTTACAGCGAACAGCTTCACAGACCCTTAAATTGCCTTATTTGGACAGTCCCGCCTATGGCGGGACCTGAAATTTCCTTATTTGGAGGCTCGTGCCTGGCCAAAGTGGTCCGTGACCCGTTATGGTGTATATATAGCTTCACTTCAAAGACCTCCGTGACTCGTTATGTGAATTTGCGGTCGAAACGCTACAGTATTGTGTACAATCATAACTGAATAATTATATGTTTTTTCTGCTATTCTGGTGCATTGTCAGAGCTTGAGAAGCTTATTAGGTTTTCCTTCGTAGTGCTTGGTAGCTGTGATAATGCATCTTGAATGCTTTATATCTATCTTCTAAGCATCTTGTAGATAGATATAAGGTGCTGTAGAGTTAACATAAGATAAGGTTCATGAGAGCGAGTACTTTAAGTTGACTTTGTAGTGCTTTACGGACGACAAAAAGGCATCATTAGCAGCTTTTTGAGTGCTTTTTAAGTTACCAAAAGGCAGTTCAAAGGCAACTTAAGATAAGGTTCACAGAGACGTATGCTTTAAGTCAACTTTGGAGAGCTTTTTAAGAGCTTTTAGGATGCCTTAAGGTGTCTTAAGATGCCTTAAAGCACTCATCAACGTGAACCTTTGTTTTAAGCGTCTTATTAGCTTACTCGTCTTTACTATCTTTTTATGTCTTAAGACGCTTTAAGTTGCTTAAAGTCGCCTTAAGGTATATAGGCCTTTCGAGATGCACCCCGTCTGCGGCGGGCAGTCTGTCGAAACGGAGACAGCAGAGCGCGTCATTCGCGACTCCAATGTCTGGCATGGTTGCTAGAAGGGCCCTGGCATGAAGATGCCCAACAGGATACCTCTTTTCCGAGGTAGGCGACTTTTTCTATTACCGTTCATTCAGTTCTGACCTTTTTAAGACGGCTCCTCCTCCCCTCCTAAATATCCCTCATCTCCTACGAAACCTGGTGCTAGTGATCCGCCACCAGACTCTGACCCTATAGTTTATCCAACGTGTGTCTCCAAGTGATATACTTACAGACGCGCTAATCAAACTATCAGGAGCCCATTAATAGCTGCAACAAGTACTCCGCGCAACAGATGGGGTGACATTCATGGGTCTACCATAATGACACCATCTTCGAGCGCTCGACGCGGTCCACGTACTCCCGGCAATCCCAACAGATCTGACATATTCAACTCCCAGGCCACCTTATCCGCTGTCGGTGGAGTTCTTTCTGAAGACGAACTGGATGAAATTCGCGCCATCTGGGGTACCACAGTAAACATCAATGACACTATCCAAATGGCACGCGCATGAAGGGCTTCAAGCTGAAATACGGCATCGCCTACGACCGCGAGCAAGGACGTCCTACTCATCCTCTTTCTTCGCCACAGGAAGGCGAGACGCTCGTGTACGAGGGATATATGCACAAAATGTGTATGACGGGACAGACAAGTCTTAGTTTGGATATGCAGAACCTGTTGGCGTATCCGGGTTCGAAAAAGCTGTACCATTTTCTGGTCAAATACCCCCAGGAAGTTGTTCCTGTAATGGATCAGGTCCTCAGAACCCTCATGCTCAAACTCGCCGATCTCGATCAGCAGAATGGCGTTGAAGGCATGGAGGGCGAAGCAGGTGACGAGGAAATTGAAGAAATTACGTGCAAGGTATATAATATCCAACCATTCGGTGTACCTCCAGTGAACATGTGCGATATCAACCCCACAGGTAACGCGCATTTCTTGGTTCTGCAACCCTACGCTCACTTATTTGTTAGATACTGACAAACTTGTCTGCTTCAAAGGACTTGTTATCCGTGCTACTCCAGATATGCAGGTCACGTTCTTCCGCTGCCTTACTTGCTCCCACACCGTTGTCACGCATATAAAATGGTTCCTACTGTACTGTTTCGACCGTAAGTTCGCAGCATGTGACGCGTTATGCCGCGAACTTACAGGAAACAAGTTCGTAACCAGGCACAACGCCCGGAATTACCATATTTGGATGCTCCCGCCGTAGGCGGGAGCGAAAATTTCCTTTTTAAGCCTCACGGACCCTGAAAATAAGGTCCGTGATGCGTTATGGTTTATCCTAAGTTAGGTTTTCGACCGCACGTTACGCGTTATGCGAACATGCAGTCGAAACGGTACAGTAATATTTTCTGAGGAATAACAGAAAAGATTAGCGTGTCGCCATGAAAGAGGTTCCTTGACGAGAGTCGAACTCGTAGCTCTTGATTATGTGAAATTTATTCGTATGGGCACATGTATCAAGCGTGTTGACCATTACACTACAAGGGCTATATGATTGAGGTACACAGATTCAAAAACAGAGCTGTGGGTAGACCACGTACTAGCTCTCGTAAGAATCGAACTTACGACCTCCTCTGTTTCAGCCTACGCGTAGAGCTGAAACGCAGGTATGCCCACTACACCAGAGAGCTATGATTGTCTGATAAAGATACATATGATGATTAGAGGGACTACGCAAGGCTACGCATTGGGCTATGCAAAGCTACGCGAGAGCTGTGCAAGGCTAAGCGAGAGCTGTGCAAGGCTACGCGAGAGCTGTGCAAGGCTACGCGAGAGCTGTGCAAGGCTACGCGAGAGCTGTGCAAGGCTACGCGAGAGCTGTGCAAGGCTACGCGAGAGCTGTGCAAGGCTACGCGAGAGCTGTGCAAGGCTACGTGTATGGCTATGCAGGGCT